TTATATAGTTATAGTTTTATTTCATATTTATTTAAACAACTGTTAACTGTTAAGTGATTATCTTCACTTAAAAACAGTTATGTTTTTAGAAAGAGTAGACAAGTACAGTTATGTGCCTTATTTATTCGGTAGTTAGTTACGTATTTGATTATAAATCGACTAAAATTGGATATCGCTTAGCTTTTCTAAGAAAGTCATCACACTTTGTTTAAAAAATCGATTTGGTAGCACTGGGTGGTAGCGACTTGACTTCAGAGAACCCATCACCCCTTTTCGGGGTATCGTAAATAATGACTATGACAAATGCAGAAAAGACGTCATGGCTTCTTATTGACGTCTGACCGTATTACCATCATGTTTGAAAATACTCTTAATTATTTAAATAAAGGAGCACTACTTAATAACGAATATTCATTAGAAAATATTTAAAAAACGCATTAGAGTAAAACTGAAGTATGCAAACTAACAGCAAGAACACATTCTTTGCTTTTACTAAAAGAATAACCACGGCGGACGGAATAACGACAACGATTAGGAGTAATAAAATCTAGTTGCCTGCGCAGAACTTTATACTGTCTGAACGTTTTAACGCTTATTACTACTCTCACTCTTAACAATCACTGAAAGTATGACGTAGAAGAATCAAACTAGCAACGTGGAATATGTGAGAAGTCTGGTACTGCGAAATCCAATTTACCGGCTTGTGAAAAAGGGTCTAGGTACGTGTTGCTTTGTCTAAGATTTAAATCTTCATAAACGGCACTACATGCGAAATTTGTTTACTGTGAAATAACCATGAAATTACGCAGGCGAGGAAATAAAAATTTTTTTATGTGACAAATATTGGAAAATTTGTTTTAATATTCTGCTTTAAATACTCTAACTTACACTTCACGCAGTTATATTTACTTATTTATTTACTCTTTATTATACACCAAAATACAAAATAACGAGTACAGTTAAATCTAAAGTAGAATATGTACAACAGGCGGTCTTATCACTTTGAAAGTGATCTCTTCCAGACAACCTTAGCGTAGAGAACTGATGCAAACAATAGTTAAAATGGGGGCGTACAAAATAAAAATAAAAATACATATAAATAAAGATAAGTTAAGATTATGTATGATATCATATAATTGATTAAATGAAAAGAGTACGAAAAATGAAAATTAATTTATCTAATAGCGTTCTAAGCATTGAGTTATATGTACTACGTACTAGAGAAGCCATTCTAAACAAAGAATGTGCACTACTCTATGTCTTCGCGCATGCACGGAAGATAGTAGAGTCGCACATGCGTAGTTGATTTAATCGCGACGCGCCTGCGCGGTCAGTTTTTAATTTAAACTTTAATTTGAATTCTTGTATTATTAGCGCCGCTCCACACTGCATGTATATTCAAACCACAGACTAACTAGTACATTGAAACCACAATAAATGACACACTGTACGTATTGCAGTACAGTTCAGTTAAACATAGTGTATGTTCGGAATGCAAAATATAGTACGTAGTACATATATATCGATGGTTCTATATACGATTTAACAAGACTTTTGAAAGAATGAAGAGATTGAGCACGACGAATGTGAAGAGGTAAAGAGTTCCACAAACGTACATCAGTTACAGTAAAGAGTTTCTTAAAAAAAGGAGGAAGAGTGCAAAGGAGTAGAGAGAGAAAGATAGACAGAGGATCGAAGGAACCCATTATGGGTAAGGGAAATATACTGGAAACGGTATTTTAAATAATGAGGAGTGGAAAGCGGAGAGAATGTGAGTATTCCTGCGAAGGAGGATCGGGAGCCATTTGAGCTGTTTGCGAAATTCAGAGATTTGATCATATTTGCGAAGTCCAAATATAAATCTAATATATAAATTTTGAATGCGCTCAAGCTTATTAAGCTGCCCCTCGGTAATGTCAAGATAGCAAATATCAGCATACTCAAGGATAGGCAGAAGTAGAGACTGGGCGAGCGTAACTTTATTTACTGTGGGAAGAAAATTACGTAATCTACGTAAAGAGCTTAAAGTTGCAAACATTTGTCTACTAACCTCATTAACCTGTGAGTTCGAAGAGAAGAGATAGAAGAGTCGAGATACAAACCCAGGTTTTTAACCTTGTTACTGTTAGGGATTTGAGTGCAGTCTAGTAACATAGGAGGTAGGGAAGACCAGTCAATTTTTACAATTAATCTAAAACTACCGACGACAATTTTTTTCAGTTTTTTTAGGATTTATCGTTAAACCATAACGTTTACTCCAGTTCAAAATACAAGTCAGATCATCGTTAATAGTGTCAACTGCTTTAGATAAATCCTCAAGAGAGGACTGAGTACAAGAATTAGAGATCATCAGCATACAAGTGGTAGGAAGAGGACAAATTATGACTTATAGAGTAAATGAAAATTGCAAACAGGAGAGGAGACAACACGCCACCTTGTTGTACGCCAGCCGCTGTAGTACACCAGGTGGTAAATATGACCGAGAAGAACTTCGATAAAGAGAAATTAAGCTTCGCCTCCAGTCTGAGAACCAGTTGAAACCTGAATGACTGAATAAGGTGTATAAGAGCGTAGATAAATAGTAACACCGCCACCGCCCTGATTGGTACGGTCGTTACGAATCAAATGAAAACCTGGAAGTGAGTAGGATGTTGATGGAAGACATGCTTTTAACCATGACTCTGAAACAAGGTGTGTTATAACGTGTATTATAATATAGGATAGTGTGTTATAACATTCAATCAAAATGATTTATCGATATTTTCAGAAAATTTTATAGCCTTATCATAGTGACCAATTCCGAGCCATTAAATAATGCCCTCCAGATTAAAATTTGGTCATGGCGACCATTCTCCACAGACACTAGCCATGTCACCTGCGCAACTCGAGATAATATTTTGTTACAAATTTGTCACAAAAACTATTGTGTTTAGTAACCACAGAATAATTGTAGCTAAAAATTGCATCATTGTAGAATTGTAATAAAATTTTATCAGGTGAGTTAACTACTAATTATTATATACAAATTTGTAAAATGCCGTTGTAAACAACAAAGGTGTTTTTTTTAGCAGTGTTACTCTTAAAATATTTATTAAACGGTTTTTACTGAATTATTCAACAATATATTTTATTACAAATTTTTCGGTCCTGACAGGGAGTAAAATACATTAGATAACATAAACACTCACGCCTGTCACCCAGAGGGATAGGCTGAGACTACATACTTCCATTTGTCATCATCCTGGAATACCTCTCTCGCCTATATGGATTTGTAGGACAACATCCATATACCTATGCATACATGCTCGTCGGTTAAGGCTACTCTTAATTTGGTCTATTTTCAATATATCTCCAATTTGGTCGATAAACTTTCGCCTGGGGTGTCCCTTCCCGACTCTGCCGTTCACTTCTGCAACATAAATTTGCTTTGTCTATCTTTCCTCATTCATTCTTTCTAGATAACCAAACCATCCAAGCATTCCTTTCTTAATCCTGGTCACAAGATCATCTTGAAAACCACACTCTTCTCTTATCACACCATTTCTCAGCCTGTCATTTAGATTCAGCCGTACAGCATTTATTTTAATCTCGTGCTTTTTCTGTCACACCCAACTTTCACTACCATACATTAAAGCTGGGACTGACTCAGGATTGTGTTAGTCCCAACTTTAACTTTTCTAACTTTTCACAATAGAGTGTTGAACCTCACTTTATTTCCAGCGTTCACTCGCTTTTCTATGGTAGGTTTTATAAGGATTTATAAAACCTACCATCCCTGCTAAATACCCATCCCAAATACACAAACTCATCTACTTGCTCGACTGTGTGTGAAATAAGAAAAGTATGGAATTTGGAAGGGGAGTCGAGCAAGCAGTAAAATATATCCCTATAAATGAATTTAAATTTAACGAATTTTACCGAAGTCGTAACCGTAAAATACTTGAAAACTCGGTAATATATATAATAAGCAAATTAGATGCGGTAAAATCTTTACTGTCTAGTATTTGTTAACTGAAATCTGCTTAAAGTTAAATTAATTTAAAAAAAATCCTAATCAACCCGGGAAAACTTCTCTGCTGGAAATGAGCCTTTCTGACATAATTTAAAATAAAAAATTACAGCCGACTTCAATATAATTTATTAAGAATATCTCAAAAACTATTGATCTGACCTTGATCAAATCCATGAGAAGTACCAGCTTTCAAATAAAAAAAAAAGAATCATCGAAATCGGTTCACCCAGTAAAAAGTTATGAGGTAACACACAAATAAAAAAAACGTACAGTCGAATTGAGTACTGTCTCCTTTTCGGCAGAAAAAGGAGAATTTGCTGTAATCACCACGCTTGCCACTGCATATACGAGATGGTAACGCCATCTATTGGCGGTCACAAGATTATCTGCCACGCACTGAAGTGTAAATTACGGACAAAGAATGTTAACCAAAATTAATGTCGCTAACATAAAGCGTACTTTATACGACCACTAATGATCGAACACGATCCACTATTTCCCGACATAATGGCAGACATTGCTCTAATAGGATAAACGGCTGCTTAGTGCAAGGTTGTGACGCTCCGATCCAGGCAGTCCTGCGGGCACGGGACCGAACTGTCGCTGCGAGCCGACACTACGGCCGGCCAATTGTCCCTAATGGCACCACTCGAACGCGTATCCGCCTAATCATCTCTTAAGACAAGAAGACTCTTCAGTATGTCTTGTGGTTTGTGAATAAGTGGTATTTCTTTTCGAGTGAACATATTCGATTTGGTGATCAGTTCGTGTATTTGCTTTACTAAAGATGTTTTAAATATAACATGAAAATGGTTCAAAAGTGGACTATACTAATACGTTTCAGCCTATCTAGTACTAAAGATATTAAATAAAGAAGTTAAAGTGAACAATATGAAAACATATATTCATTACATTTACTTACTTCATTAGTTCACGAGTCTAGATACATTTGATTTATACTCATTCACAGATGTAAAAATTAGAAACAATGAACGGAATTAATGTTGTTGCTGACAAAATTGGCGCAGAAATAAATATCAAGGAAAAACCAAAATCAAAAAGAGTCAGTATTAAAGATAAACTAATGCAAATCCGGTCAAATATAACTGTTGAACCTATTATAGCTTGCTATATTATGTCAAATGTATTCTCGGGACTTGCGATCCAAAATTTGAACTTGGAGAAAGCATGTCGAGTAAATTTGGGCTATAGCGATGAAGTATGTTCGGCGCTAAACAGGAGACAAACCGAAAATTATACAATGGAAGAGTCGGAAGTGCAAAAGTTAACGGCGTCGGTGCAAGCGTGGAAAAACATTGTTCAAACGACGTTCCCTTGTATTTTGATCCTGTTTGTTGGATCATGGAGTGACAAAACAGGAAAGCGAAAAGCGTGCATCCTTTTGCCAATTGTTGGCGAAGTACTTTGTTGCACGAGTTTCATTTTGAACACCTACTTCTTCTACGAATTGCCGTTGGAAATCACGGCCCTCTCTGATCTATTTCCATCGTTAACCGGAGGTTGGATTACTGTTTGCGTCGGTGTATTTAGTTACATAGGTGATGTAACGACGAAAGAAATGAGGACATTCAGAGTGGGATTGGCCAATTTGTGTATGTCCCTGGGAATACCAATCGGAATGTCTCTGAGTGGCATACTGTTGCAGCAAATTGGTTATTATGGTATATTTGTGATATCAATTTGTCTCTATCTGACGAGCTTGATATATGGATATATACGTTTAAAAGACCCAATTATATCTGCAGAGCGTCAAAGAGTAAGTAAAATTTGATTTGTAGCACTTATACAAGATCCTATCTTTTATTTTCTAACCGTTTAATACAACTATCAAGCATTTACATAACATGACACTGAGAGGGATTCAAAATATCAAAAATACCGGTAAGGGACCGGTATGTACCGGTTCTGATACGAGAACCAGAACTGAAATCGAAAATTAAATTATATCCGTTATTTTATCGGTATACGACTGAAACAACTACTACATTCTTGATTTTATTCTGTGACAGTCATAAAATGTTTTATAATGCTGTGGTATCTTAAAATATATACCTTGTCTGGAGTCAGAATTTGAACTGTTCCGAAAAGTGGAACATTTTTGAAATATATAAGAAGATTATATATCGTTCCGAATTTTGGAATCGATTTTTAATCCCTTCTTCTGAACTATCGTACTTAAGCTATTCAGTACCAAATTGTAGCGATAACATACATAGCCACAGAGTGCACAATTTATTTCGTTTGCGCTTTGTTAGTAAGTGATAAATTACTACGAGCACGACGCAAATTTGAATGAAGGGGAATGTCGTATCGCTGTCATTGTTTTTACGAGAGGCTCAGGTAGGTGTCGGCTGTTCGAAAACTTATTTGCCAAGACATTGTATTCTACAGCCAGATACTGTCTAGCAGGATGACTGAATTGAAATTACTTAATAAAGAACGCACGTGTTACATGTGATACGTGTATATTATCATGGTCAAGGTTCACTTCAATTGTCCTGTACTCCTTTAGTACACAGTCTTTTTAGTTGAATGCGTAACTGGGTTCGAATGTGTATCTGGCAATACATCCGTACTGAAGTTTTTATTCAAGTCAATTGCAAGAACATGAATAATATAGATTTTATAATGTAAAAATAAAATAACACTTACAGTTACGAGTTAATTTAAACGGCATCATAAATTTTGCACGACAACCATTTAATAAAAATTTGAAAATGACATTCAAACTCTATTTTTAATTATCATTAGTTTTTAATAAGGATGATTATAATATGAGAAACTGCTGTGTATTCAGAAAAACAAATTTAAGTAGAAAGGAAAATTTCAAACGTTAATATTTTTTATTAAACAATGGTAACAAACAGACCACCAGATGAGATACTGTTGCCCATATAAATCTACATCCATTTTCGATTAAGAATCAAAATGAAAGTACATTATCACCACTAAGATGTGAAAAAAAAGTAACTGGGGTTTCCCGTTTTCAACACTCACCGTACAGCACCATTAAGGTAATATTTTGTGCTAGTATTCTGTGAGAGCGTAGTCCTCCCCAGTCGAGCTCACTCATTCATACTGCAAATCATAATATTAGCTGCAGCGTGGCTCTACCACGTGTAAAACCGACCTGCTAAATGTACTCAAACCGCTTTAAGTAAATAATATGCCCGATTTCTTACAGTCCACTGAATGTGCGTATTTATGATATAACTTGTCAATGCAAAACTCCTTGAATTTCAAAATGCTGCAAGATTTACAAAACGTAGAATAATAGATGAATGTTACTGTGTTTGGTGGCTGGTGTATCGTGAGTGTAGAGAACCGGACACCCTATTTACTGGAAACGAGGCATTCCATCTTAGCCCTCAGGGGTAACAACAAATCTGCATTTCATTCTTAATCGAGGATTGATATAGATGTCTACGGGCCGCGGTATCAACTTATCATCAAGTATATTGTCTGCTCGTTTGTCACCCTTATCTATACAAATAAATAAAATTGAAGTGTCTGTTTGTAATGTCAAAATTACAGTTTTTTACTAAATGCATATGAAAGTAAATACGATACCTATAACTAAAATACAATTTTTTAAATTTTTGTCTGTCTGTCTGTCTGTCTGTCTGTTTGTTCCGGGTAATCTCCGAAACGGCTGGACCGATTTTGACGGGACTTTCACTGGCAGATAGCTGATTTCATAAGGAGTAAAATAGGCTACTTTTATTTTAGAAAAATAATCAGGGTTCCGCGCAGAAACATAAAAACCCTAACACGCGAACGAAGTCGCGGGGAACAGCTAGTTGTAAATAAAAAAAAAACTTTATGCAATTGCCATTGGCCGAAGTAAAATTTATTTTATTTTTAAGTACGATTCGAAACTATGGGTGTTTTCTTTGCAAAGGATTTTATTCATTATTAATCTGCACGTATGAGTACTTATCGTTCAATTTCGATAAGGATTACCCGCTTACAATCGTAAGCCTATTATCACAAGAGCTTTTGTGAAAAGTATCCGAACATTATTTTGACAGTACAATAATTAAAATGTGTTTAAAAAAGAACGGAATTTAATGGTCGTTCTTTGGTATTTAACTTATATATTTTATTCACAGGAAACATTTTCCTTTTTTTTATAAATTTAAAAACTGTTTAATACTTTTGCGTCCTTCTCTGCAACGATGTGAATATATGCTTCCAAGATACATATACACAAAAATAAATATATATGTATGTCACGGTTGTACTCTCCGAGGGGGTAGGCAAAGTCAAAAAATCAGGCCATTCGGATCACGTTAAGCCAAAAATAATGTGGATAAATGGAAAATAATTGTGAAAGAAGTGATAAGTGGCACGCTCATCGCCAATACAATCACAAACTTGGATCCTATTAGTCGCCTATTATGACATGACATTTTTGAACAAGCCCTGACATTTAGTTTAAGCAAAGATTCGGCGACAGTACGAAATATAATGTAAAGATTTTTTTGTCAAAAACCGAAATCAGTCAAATATTTCTCAAAAAACCAAGCAACCGCAGCAAAATGATTGCTCCGATCTAGATACTAAACGAATAAATCAGAATTAAATAAAAAAGTTATATCACATATTCAAAGATTTAAAAAAAATGTATTCAAAGTTTGAAAATAAATTCTCCTATAAAATTCATACACAATCAATAAATCTAAAGCTATGTAAATTATTTGTAAAAAAAAATGTAACCTCAAATTTAAAATTCGAACATGACGTTATAGATTTGAAAATAAATAATGAACTGATCAGAAATCCTATTGATATTCTGCTTCGATTTTCAATAATTATTATGCTGATTTTCCTAATAATTTGACAATAATCAATAAACCAAACAGCTATACTTGTAATGAGAAATCACTGTCTAACTCAATACGTGTATTTTTTTTATAGGAGGGGGATTTTTTAACAGTATTTCATGTGAGGCCGAACCTGCGTCTTGTAAAGTTGCAAGCGGTGTGCCGGCATGAAATAATGTCCCGCTCTGCTGAGCACGCCAAGCTTTTTAGAGGCCAATTTGGCCTTCTCTTCCAAGTGACCACGAAACTGCACGTCACTCGATATGTCGACACCAAGGATCCCGATACTGGCTGAGGCAGCTGAGGCAACAAGGGGAGTGCCTTGAAACTGAGGAGATACGACAAAGAGGTTCTTTTAGCGGTAAACGCGCAAACTTGTGTCTTCTGGGGATTGAACTGGACTAGATTTAGTCGACCCTAGTCTGAGGTTTTGGTCAACAAATTCTCGACTTCAGACACAAGTTTGTTCCGGTACTCGGCGACGTTTTCCAGAGAAATATTGGCACGGCCGGTGTATAAAGCATCACCAGTGCTATCGTCCGCATAGCAATGAATGTTACTGGTTTGCAACATATCATTGATATGCAGAAGAAACAGCGTCTGTGATAGCACGTAGCCTTGTGGAACACCAGCGTTAATGGACTTGTAATCGGAGCATATACCGTCTACTATGACCTTGATGCTCCGATCTGCAAGAAAACTGGTGATCCAATCGCACAATTTCTCGGGAAGCCCATAGGAAGGGAGCTTCAAAAGAAGCGCTTTGTGCCAAACCTGATTGAAGTCCTTCGCTATGTCCAAACTAACGGCCAACGCCTCCCCCTTGGACTCCATCGCCCATCTATGAGTTAGGTAACCTAAAAGATCACCAGCTGAGCGACCTCGACGGAAACCGTACTGGCGGTCACTAATCAGCTGGTGCTCCTCAAGATACCGCATGAGCTAGCTGCTAATAATGGTTTCCATTACTTTGGAGAACAAGGAGGTGATAGCAATAGGGCCGTAATTTGACGGATCTGAGCGGTCGCCTTTTTTAGGGATCGGGTGCACCAAAGCTGTCTTCCATGAGTTCGGGACTACGCCAATGGAGTAGGAGTACCGAATAAGACGCGTTAAAACTGCTGCGAACTCCGGAGCACACGTCTTCAGCACAATAGGTGGGACTCCATCAGGCCCACTTGACTTGTTGACGTCCAAGGAGAGGAGTGCTTTACGTACCGAGCGCTGAGTAAACAACACTTCCTGCATGGAGCACTCACACCGCGGGATGGTCGGCGGTGTGTTCCCCCCGTCATCTAGAGTCGAGTTGGAAGCAAAAAGAGAGCCTAGCAGATCGGCTTTCTCTTTTGCGTCATGGGCCAGTGAGTCGTCCGCCCTGTGCAGAGATGGCAGAGATGGCTGACAGAAGTTCCCTTGGACAGCCTCGGCGAGAAACCAGAATGCACGTGTTCCCGAAGGGAGGCGAACTAGTTTCTTGCGAATTCTGCCGATGTGCTCTGACTTTGCCTTGGCAATGACACTTTTGAAGAACCTGGAGGCGGAATTATACTTTTTTTTAAGAGCACTGGTATTTACATCCCGGGACGTTGATGCATCGGTCCAGGTTCGGTAGCACTCCTGCTTATAGCGTGATGCAATTTTGCAGGAGTGACCAAACCATGGCTGATTTCTGCCTCCGATAGGCACCACAGATGATGGAATAAATAATTCCATTTCCTGAAGTACCACATCAACGACAGAATCAGAAACAACGTTGGGATCATCCGGCGCGAAGCAAACAAAAGGTCTTTTTTTGCATCCTACTCTTGGGGGCGGCCCAAGGGTAGGATAAAAAAAAAGACCACATCCCGTCTCAATCGGCCGACCTATAGTGCCAAACACGGCGGCAAGCTGCAGATCGTAATTGCGATTGGAGCGTGAGTGGAACCGT